TCAAAATCAGCGGTTTGAGAGTCCTCTGAGATTGTTCTGCCTCTCTCTTCATACTCAAAGAATCAGCTGGTCTAGTAAACACCTACATAGCACACTACATTCTACGCTTATCTCTTGTTCGTGCTTAAACACGGCTTACGCGAATTAGCTGAGTTGTTATTTTATGATGTTTCAAGTTTCTAAGTAGTATAATACAATGTACTGGCAGGCAGGCGATCTACCGACTTTTCCCTTGGATTTGAAAAGATTTTTTGTTTAATAGATCAGGTATGTTTGTGACTCGTGTATTTTTATTTCAGGACTCACAAATATTATTTGTAGACTTGCTTAAAGTTTGGTACATTTGGTAATGATCCATTTTGACTTTAAATGGCTTTTGTGGAAAGAGAGCAAATCTGTAACATTTTTGAAAGCTTAGTTTCTAAAAAGTAACGTAGTGATAAGATTTATACGTGAGGATTAAAATGCATCATGATATTCTATCATGTATTTGCAGTGGTTGTTGCTGCCATGTTGTATGATGAGTTAACATTTTCATAAAGTCTTCATATTTAATCTGACCAGAAGTTATTGTCGATCCATGTTTGTTGAAGTGTATTCCGGTCAGCTGCCAGCGCTCATGCTGTGTTTACAAACAAGGTGTTAAATCTGACATCTGCAGTACAAACAAGCCGATCGAAACATTTTGAGCGTTCCAAGAGAATCTTTAACGATCGAGGTAACTTTTCCATCCGCTCTTGTTTACATTGTGATTCGGTAGCAGAACTTGCAAGATTGCAACTAAGCTAGTGAACATTTCCATCATGTCGACGCGCAACTCATCAACGTGAACGTGTAGTTAGTGCGTGTAGGTGTTTAACGTTCCGAGAGAACCTTTGGCAATTGAAGTGAATTTCCTTTTTTACCAGCGCTGAAAGAAGATTGTTTCCATTTTAATTCTGTTGCCACAATGTTGCATCGCCTCGCGCAAGTTTGTACCTTGCGAACATTTCCATCTCGTCGACGTGCAACTCATCAACGTCTAGGTAATTACAATTGACGTTTCGAACTGGTTGCAGCGGCCGTCGTCAGACAACTGGCCTTGGCTCAGCCGCTTGATAGTCCGAAGTGCATCGTCAGATTGCATTGTTTGCTGCTGAAGTCATCACGGCCTTGGTTGGAGAGGAAGTTTACAAAGATGGTTTGCTTATCTTGGGTCACGTTGCATTTTGATGTCGCAAGTGTTGAAGATGTTTTTACTTCGGTGGGATTGTGTTTACGTGATAGTTTGATTGTGCAGTCGCTTATTTTTTTCAAGTTCAGATCTTTGATGAAAAATTTGTTCACTCAAGAATAAGCAAGCTTTTTTTAATCGGTTCGATTGACAGATCCATACACAATTTGTGAATAGAAAAAAACTTGAATAAAAAAAGAGTTAATATTTGCATTGGTTTGATGACATACGCGATATCGTGCTGATTAACAATTTGTTCGTGCATAATGTTTTTTAATGTGAAAACAATGTATTGCACCAAGTTCTGTTTGGAGATTCTCTAGCTAGATCACATAATATCATTTCGTGTGCATAGACTCAAAGCCACTTTGGAAATCATTAGTACCACATTTCCATATTGGGTTTAGTTCCAACGATTCTTTATCAATAAACCAACGGCTTAGGGAATTGACCAAAGGATTTGCCAAGCGTATCCACTCATATAATATGACGTCGTATCATGTAACACCGCCAACTGTTGGACAACTTTTCATCAACCACAAGATAAATTGTCACACGATAAATAAACGTTGAAGAAATTCGATTCGATCCGTGTAATTGATCAGATTGGCGTTGCTTCATCGACGTTTCCTGAGTCCAGTTGTTCAGCGGTTCGGCCAGTTTGACCGGTGTCGCCGCATATGGAAAGCTGCATGTCCACCTGTACGCTTCCTGTATCCCCCCTCTCCTCCCGCAGTGCTGGTCCAGGAAGGTGTATAATACCCCTGGGAACTGTCTTCATCACCAACAGGGATGCTGGATGTGAGGGTCTAAGGGTTTCTAGGAAGCCTTACGTTAGAGGAAATTCAATTATTGATGATTCAGGAGTGGGCCCAGTCTTGATTGGCTTTTAAATGGACCTGTCGAACCAGCTGATCATAGTCATTAATTAAGCTGAGCAGATAAACTTGTTCTATTCTACATTCTTGTGCTTTAAAACACGCACATTTTGTGTGACGGTGATGTTTTAATAGAATTGAATCGAAAAATAAATTATCTGTGGTCACTTACTTGACTTCTAATGCCATGGTTGATCAAATGAATCAGATAAATCATGCATTACAAATGTTTGCTGATGCCTTACCTTAAGTATTGCTTTTACTCTAACCAGCCTTGAAACAGAAATGTCAACTTCGATTCCTTCCCTTCCTAATAGGAATTTGTTTTTGCTTCTGGTGACCAGTAGTGTTCAAGCAAGAACGTAATTTTGGTCCTCTTCGTATTCGATTAGGTCTTCTTCAGTAAGCGAGGTTTTGGATTTTTCCTCTATTACTCAACATGATTAGATGTAAGGATATCAAACAAGGAATTCACCATACAGAATTTTTTAACAGTTTTATTTATTTGTCATGTCAATTTGGCTAACAAAAAATCGTTATTCTTGATGTACAAACAAACCCCTTCAACCTTTACGAGTAAATCAGTTCCCCAAACAGTCTCCTCAACAAAGCGTCCTGAAGAGGGCATTTGACGATGAAATACGACCTTACACGCAGTTTTACAGCCCAATTCAACTAAAATGTCGACTGAGCTGTTGGGATTATTTATGAGCCTCGAACCAGACCCACCCTCCGTCCCTAGCCTCCAGTCAGGCCCTTGGAGCCATTAATCATCACTTAATCGTCTTTAAGTCTAAATCCCGAGGGGCGACGGAGAACCCTGAAAACCTTCTGCCTTCAGCTAGAGTTTGAAGCTTGGGTTTGAATATTCTATTTATACGTGTTTGTAAAGAGCTATAAACAAGGGCTGACACAATTTTAAGATCTCTACGCGAAAAGGAGATGATTTTGGTTGCAAAGGGAGGTTTTTGATTAATAAAAGAACTTAAACCTCCTACAACCTGTATGAACCTGTGTGTGGATTTGCAAGTTTTATATTCTTTAAAATATAATATGAAACGTCAGTACATAAAATAAACAAATTTTAGAATAGAGGTTTATATAGAATCCCATTTTTTGTAAAGTATAAACTTTTGATTGGAACAGATACGTGAAATACGTATCACTCGGAGTTAATGTTTTTATTTAGAGGTATGCCAAATTTTAACTAAGTCTTTAAAGTTTTAATTACTTTTAGACCCCTAATTAATTTTTGTCAATAAAGGAAACTCAATGAGCAATGAAAACAGTTGGTCGCTTCAAGAAAAGTATCAGCAAAAGGTCTTTACCAAGCAAAATCCGAGGGATCCATACGAAGTAAAGTTGGACTTCCAGTCTCTTCGACGTCTTTACTATTCCCGATCTCGAAATGCCTTAGAACACAGGTCAAGACTACTTGTATATACTTAATATGTGAGAAATATTTTATCGATTGGATGCCATGTCAGTACGCAAATTACACTCAATTTTGCTTCGTGTACATTTTTTATATGACCATTTTGTTCCTTCGCCACTGCTGGGGCCGAAAAGAATTGTTAAGAAATTCGTTGACTGTGTAAAATTCCAATATCGATTGTGACGGTAGCTGTTCCAGCTCAATATATCTGCAGCATATCCAGCAGCATATCTGAAGGACGAATTCCTTCCATCCTTGGTTCATATACCGTTAACAACTTAAAGATGCAGTACTAGTTTTTGGGAAAACTATTCACAATCAGTTCTGCTGGGATATAACTTGTGTAATCAACCCAGCTGTACACGTCAATATCACAATGTCAACAACAACATGTTTGCCACACTGGATGTTTGTTACTGTACGGCTAGGCCTAGGTAGGCGCCGAGTGCCTCTTGCTCAACACAACGCACGTCGTCGCCTGGGGCCGCGGCGCTGTGGATGGTAGATGGGCCACACTCACCCCGCGTTGGGCAAGTTTTACATAACAGACAATAATTCTAGCGGCAAGCAAGTCTGTCCGCGGTACTTTCACATCTGTCGATGTCAGCTATTGTGGCCGGCGCGAATCTAATTAAACTTAACACGTAACGTTCTTCGGGGTGAAGATCAAGTACCAAAGTTAACACGAAGTGGTTAGAGAGGTAGTCAGGGTGTAAGTTACGAAGTTTTTTTGGATTAGCTTTAGCTTTTTAGGTAAACCGGTTTTAAAAACATGTTTGTAGATATATTGGGAACTCGTCCTTCTAAAAAGGCCTTCCGAAGTCCGAGACGATGTTTTTTTTCTGTTTAAGTTTTCTTCGGAGCAGAGAAAAGGTACTGATACATATACAGTATTTTGAAAAAATCAACTGAATTTAACTGAAGATTTTCTAAGCTAACTAAACGATTTAGTAAAACCTTGTACAAACTTCTATAGTTTTTCCAGCCTCTAAAAGAGCTAATCCTTTCCCTTTTCCCATCCAAGATATTCAACGTAAAGTATAAGTAAATAAATATAAATGTAAGGCTCTAAATCGAAATTCAAACATTATTGAATAGCCAGTGTTCTTTTTCTGAAGAGGCCTTGCTCCAAGTTAGCAACTATGGAGCTTAACTCCAACCTTATACACTGTTACGTTGCAGTTGATCCTTAGGAGTGGAATGGAAATCGTGTGGTGTATTCAACATTGACCTTTACTTTGAAGCCAAAAAGTCATAGGTGTTATATACGTTAACCAACGACGGATTTTTAGCCAACTTTGTTGGACAAACGAAGAGTTTAAGGGACAAAATCGACTAAAACTTGACATCTAACATATTAACTATCTGTCAACCAAGATTTTGTCTATTTTGCCAAGTGTGTTGTAAACTTGCCTATATGGTCGACGTTTTGGCGGTTGTATGCAGTGTTGTTAAGATGTTGTTTTGTCTGCAGATGACGGAGGCCAGATCGCGGGTCTAGGATCAGCCATGTCCTGGATGTCCCCCAACCTCGCCTGGCTGCAAGTCCTGCTCAGCCTTCACGTGACTGCCTGGCTGCAGAACGCGCCACCAAACATAGTCTTTCATCAAAGTGAGTACATTCTACTTGTAGCTCTACTGTGTGGTATCACAAAATAGACTTTCATAGTGGTAAACTCAATAGCTGGGCGACCGAGTGTTTTTAGTGCTTGATTCGAGTAGTTTTCAAAATATCTCAGACCCGAGATGGCTCGAAACAGAGCTCAGATTTCCTTTATCTTTGGACTTGTAATAAACTGATATGGTTGAAGACACAGTTACACAAGGCCTTACACTCCAGACACATTCTTCGTCCATATTTGGGTTATAATACGTCCAGAAATCACAAATTTGTTTAGTAAACTAGACACCAAACAGCGTCCAAAAAATTTTCCTAACGAGAACGTGTACTCAATCCTTAGATGAGCGATGCATCTTGGATGCATATTTTAATCTGAAATTGTATATGCATTGTGAGCGTAGAATAGAGTGAGATGACCTTTGTATCTTTGGTACTAAGATCAGCTGTTTCTTTAGCAGAATAATCAAAGAAAGCTGGTCCGACTTCAGATCTTTCAAAGACTACTGATATGACCTTTCACGAATATTAGAACGGAAACTGTATGGATCATAAACATAAACTAATTATGTCACTGACCCGAAAGTAAACATATTCTTTCGTTCTGTCAAAAAACGCCAAAACCAGCTGTTATGGATATTAGTATGGCCATTTGGGCCTGTGACGTCATTTGTTTATTTTTATGATCAATACAGTTTCTGTTCTTTGTGCAAACAGATCGAGCTACCAAAACAAATCCGTCACCTCATCCCCATTTGTGTCATTGAGTTATGTGATTGCTAAATTTCCAGCGTGCAAAACACGAATATGTACAAAATAACATTTAATTAAATGGGCACTCGCAACGTTTCGACCGTTCTCGTGGTCCGTTTGACATTTGCAATCATTGCGGTAGCTAAATATTGCCAATTACATGAGTAATTTCGACACGAGCCGTTACACACGGTGCCGCAAGGAATGTGTAATCGCTGCGAGTGTTCGTGTTTGTGTCGGTGTAGATGTGTACTATCAATTATGTTTGTGTACGTAGTTTGATGCGGAGGCTCCAGATTGTTTGCAAATTACTGCGGAAACAGGTTTTGTCTCGGCGTTCCCGTTCCCGTTACTCCGTCGATGGGTGTGCGATTGCTCAGGCTGGAGTAGAATATTGTAGAGGTGGTGTTTTTGTAAATGGTTATGCAATGTGAGGAAATAAACTATTGTGATTCGGACGTTTTCTGATTGCTTTCTGGGTCATTTTCTTAGTTGATGTTGGGCTGTAAAGGTTAATTCACCTAACAAATTGATTCTGTGGTTCACTTAGTTTGTGGGGACGTCGCGAGAGTTAGTCTTGAAAATAATGTTTTTGCTAGACCCTTCAATTTTGTTGTTTGCCCCCCTCGGGTTTGAAACCCATAAATCGGGCGGTGTCTTATCCCAAAATAATGTTATGCCTTGATTTGGCCTGATTGTCGGGATTCCATATGCAAGAAAGTATCCATATCTTAGGCGAAAAGAGTAATATCTTAGAAGGAAAAAATCTACCTCACCGTATGGATCTCAGTTTTCGAATATCATTCTAATTCCAATTGTAGAACCATTTAGTCTTATTTTGCCTTGATGAGCTATTTTTTTTCTGATTTTATGATTTAAACATATAATATTTCAAAATTGTCAATTCAGATGGAAGAATAGTAAGACAAATTGACGAAGGAAGCCATATAGAACAATATGTGGACGTGATTAGGCAATGTATCAAATTCTCTTGATAGTGAGACATGCATCATAATTTATTTTGTCAATTCATTTGTTTCTACAATCCGATCTGGCCTGTGATCTGTGAAGAAGGCACTTAAGCAAAATCCTCCCTACATAGCCCATAACGTAATCATTTATCACATTCTGCCATAGGATAAACAAAATTGCACATTATTGCCTTTACCAATTTAATTTCGCAATCCTTGACGGCATGTGAGCATTGAGAAAGTCGTTTAGGCAACATTAGAAGGTAATCCTTAAGAAAATACCAAAAATTGCACATGAGGTGGTCATTTAGCACATACTCTAGATGGTTGAACAAACTTTCAAAGTTTACAGCTTTGCCTTGTAAATTAAATTCCACACAAAATCAGCTGGACCTCTGATAGAGACGTCATCCAGGATTCAGGAAGACAGTGCTGCATCCCGAAGACAATGTTTCATAACGGAGAAAGCATCAAGTTGCAACTGCCTCAGCTTGGGTCGTATATCTCCACTAATAGTCCTCAGACTCGTCCGTCGCTAATAGAAAGCGAAAGTCGCGTGTGCAAAAGGTGGATCGTAAATCTTATTATATTTCCCTTAGCGGTTTCTGAATTGCCGCGTTTTCTTTGCCGTTTGATAATGAGAGGTTAAATAGCCCCTGGGGGGAGGATTTCTCATTTTTTGTGATAATTTTTCGTAGTTTATGTTTCAATGTTCATTGAGAGGCTAATGTAGTACTTTTTTATACCTAAGGTAAAAATAATTATTGGAAGTCCTAGAGATGAAGTCAGTAGTGCATTCTGCTCACTGTCAGACTTTTTTGAGGACGAATAATCGAATGTATCGATGTTGCATTAATTGTGGGCCAAATAACAGACCAAAAGTAAGTAAAGGCCTAAAGAAAAAAAAACAGAGTAAACCCATCTTGGAAGCTAAAATGTAAACAAATTTCGTCTTGTGTTAGCCTAAGTATTGGTGAATTACAATGGATTTACTTCCATCGAAATGTCTTTTAAACCCTCATTTTATGACCTCACCCTTGCATTGGTCGCTAAGCTTGAGCATTTTTGTAACCGACTCCCTTGTAGTACGTTGTCTAAATAAATCTTCTAACTGTGTGTTTCACTTTACAGATGAAGAGCCTGGCTGGAGGTTCTTGGGCAATGAGTCCTACACGGATCACTTCACGCTTCTACAGAAGGAGCACTCGTCAGTCCTCATTGGAGCGAGGTAATCAAACATACACTTTATATATATATATATTGATATTTATATATATATATATAAATATCAAGAATGGTTATTTAGCAAACTTTAAAACAATTAAAAACCAATGCGTGCGCAAAGTATTGGTTGTAAAAGTGAGATGGGCGTTCCAACGACCATAGGAGATCAGAAACCGTAACTGGAACACGTAAACAAACAAACAAAGCTTTATGTTTAGCTTTCAAGGTGTCGTGAACTACCTATAGTTAGTCATAATAATGAAATCGTATATATTGTTTTTGTTGTATTTGTAAGGATGAAAAAGCTTAAGGTTTATTGCAATTGTTTCCACAAACGTGGCTTGGGTCTCTGAGTCGTCATCGCTGCTACTGACTTTATAGTTCCGGTAGTGTCTAATAAGACCACTTTATTATCATGTAAATAACTTAAATTGGGTTCTATGTAGTACTATAAAATCAATTCATATGTTTCCAAATTCCATACAAGTTTTACTTCGGAGGGAATCAAAGTTATAATGGACTCCGGAACACCTTAGTTTATAACAAACAAACTGTAGTCAGCAGCCAACTTTGCAAATGAGACAATAACAGTGGAAAGTAGGAAAATCTCCCGGGATTGCTCCAGTCCCAAGCCATGAATATGTTGCCAAAGTTGTCTATTTTATACTGACTCAGTACAATGGAACATTGGAATACCTTGGCAATGATACATCCAATAGTTATTTTTTTAAGTTTTTAATTTGTGGTTTCAAATTATCAATTGCCATTACCCTGGAGACTTCATAATGCTCCTAGTCCTACGTGATCGCGAATCAATCGTGAATAAAGAATACCTTCCACGACCACATAGGCATTTTGATCGTCACTGTGATCGCGGCATCGTCGTGAATATCTTCCAAGATCATTGCAAAATCATCTAGTTATGTCTTTACCAGTTTCTACCTATGTCATAAATGAATTTCTTGTCCCGTCGCGATTTTAGGAACTCCAGGAAACCCTCTAAGCTACATTTTATCATCACGCCTTACAGTGGACAGCAAACGGCTCACAGGCATTCTTTGTGCCGATAAAAAAGGACGCACTCTAATACTCTAATTTGGTCGGACCATTACAAATCAAAGTGGTGTGTCCTAATCTAGAATAAATGAGTGTGAGTAGAGTTGATTGCGGGCGGCATGAACAAGTGGGGGTTAATTAAAGAGAAGTTGCAGAAGCAAACAATAGATGGCAGCAGTTTAGAGTGACTGGCACAACTCACAATGGCTCATTAGAGACTGGAGTCAGTGCCCTAGGTTGGCAGTTGGCACACATGGTGTGATCAGAGCAATGGCAATCTCTTGTGGCGAGGTTACCTCACCTGTGATGAGGTTTGGTAACCTTGGTAGAAGTAGACGATGTGGGGTTAGCAACATATATGTGGGTTGTGAAGACGGTGTGGGGATGGAAAACATCAAGTATTTTGAGTAAAAGGCGTTCACTATGTGATCAGGAAAGGGTGATGTTTTAGGGTTAGAACTGTATGATTAGGAGTAGATGATTTTCTATGGTCAGAACACACAACTATCAGGAGTAGGAGATACAGGATTAGAACAGGCCAGATGATCAGGAGTGGATGAGATTTTAAAGTTAGATTAGAGTACATAGTGATCAGGAGTAGAAGAAGTACTTAGGGTTAGGACCGCTTTAATGATCAGGAGAAAAAGATATCTTAAGGTTATCTTAAGGTTGGGACAAATTATGTGATGCCGAATGGAGGATTTCATAAGGTTTAGAACACATTATGTTATTAGGAGTAGATGATGTTTTAGGACGCTGATGCATTGTAATATCAGGAGTAGAAGATGCTGCTTGGAACATAAAATATGATTAGGATTTCGTAAAGACGGGTAGGCCTATGATAAAAGAAAAGGAGATTTTTTACTTTCATAACATCTGGGTAAGAGAATTTTTAGGGTTAGGACACATTTTAATCAGGATAAGATGGTGTTTTACAGTTTTACCTCACCAAGTGATTGAGAGTGTTCAAGGGTAAGAACTGAACAGTAAGAACACATCAAAAGGCTACTGGAGTAAATTAATTTGATATTTATTTGCCGTGTTGGTTGTTAATGCATTGTAAAATGTCTACAACAATAAATGATTTTGATTTGATTTGATTTGAAAACATAGAAAGCCATTGAACAAAAGTGGTTGAGAGAAGACGTTTTAGGGATGAATTAAGTTACAGTAATATTAGGGTAAGATTTGGATTGGGGTAGATGTTATGTTTAAAAATCTCGTTAAGAATTTGAAGTATTGTTAAAGGTACGTGTACAACTCATCTACAATGGTGAAATATTAATTATAGATATTCTGTAATTAAATATCAAACAGTTCTTTAACAGGTTAGAATTTGATTTTTATAATACTTTAATACGATGGTCAATTAAATTTTTGATGGAAAAATTAGACTAGCATAAAATAATCTTTACCACATAAATCATTAGTTTTAGTCCTAATTTCTTTCATGTAAAAATCATCATTACATGTTTACTATTAACTAGAATAACCCTATATCTTAAGACCATTAAAAACACATATTTCAAAGAATCTAAATCTAAATTTTGGATTTTACAACCAGTCAAAACTATACCTCTTTAATTTTGGCAAATCTTTTTATCTTCAATGCTAAGAAACTGTAGTTATTTTACAGAAAGAGTAAGACTTTTATAGCAGTATCTGCTTTGTCATAAACTCTTGTGAAGCTCTTAAGAGAAGATCGCCAAAACTGATAACTCCGAAATCGTTAACTCCGGTCTGCTACATTTTATAAATATTTTAACACTAGCTTTCCCACAACTTCCCTATATTACAAGATGCTGATACATCAACTGTAATATTAAGATTTAGGATTAAGATGTAGGAGTTTTATTAAAATACAGTACTGTGCAAGTAGTGGTAGATATATTTTTTAATTTAATTTATTAATTTCTTGTCTTGTTTCAGAAATTACCTGTACAACATTAGTCTGGTCAACATGACCGAATTTGTACACCAGGTTGGTATCTTAAATAATACTTAGGTTTTTGTAGTATAATCATTCATGATTTTCTTTACGACCCATTTTTAGGTTATTTCAATCATGGATGAAATGAAGCAAGAAAATAATTTGTAGTATTAACGTGATCAATTTCCCTTTTAATGAAAAAAAGATTTTTTTAAATAATGTGTACTATTAGTATACTATTGAATTACATTTTTTGGAGAAAGATTTTATGATAATATGGCGAAGGGTAGAGATTGCATTTATTCTTCAATTAATGTGTATAATTTCAATGTGAATACAAATTATTTTCCCACCCCAATTAAGTTACTTTTTTTCTGCGTCTTTTTTGTTCATACTTCCCCCTCAACCCTATAACTAAATTTTATTTTCAAAGATAAATTACCCTCGCTGGTACCTTAAGTGCTGTTTTGGGGTTACAACCAAGCTTGTTAACCTTTAGACTTGTACTTGCTGATGAAATGTCAGTTAAAAGTTTGTCAATTTGGGTCTAGCAATACGAAATGTAGCTGTAATAAGTGCATGTAAGGAGTTAAGTAAACTAAGGTTGAATCAAATATCAAAACACCCCTGTCGCAGCGAACCTGCAGTCTAGGGGAATATTAATTTATCTTTTTCAATAATTTATGTTATAGCTATGTATAGAATAAACAAATTTGCCAAATTTGATCAAGTTATCATTCTAACGAACACATATATTTATAAACAAATATGAATTTGAATGAATGGCACTTTTGACGTCACCTCAAAACGAATAAATCCACCTGGTCTAGGTCTTACCATAAGACCTACGGTAATAGCTTATTCCCTATATGGGAAATACGCTATAATGTTTAAACTTTAAACCATTTGATTTGTTATTTCGCAACATTAACTGTATTATGGTGTTAATTGTTACAGAGGATATCATGGCAACCCTCTGGCGCTCACAGAGAATTGTGCTTCCTCAAAGGAAAGTCTGAGGTAAGTTTTACTGTCGGATTGGATTTGATTATTTGACTAATTCAATGTCGAATCTTAAACTATTTCATGTCTACAGCACATTATTGATCAAATTGTATGATGTATCTCTACACATTATCATTTTGTGTTTTCTTTCAGGACTGTTTTGGTTGAATCAAAATTGTAATAGTCTGGATTATCTTGTGTATAAATTAACTGTGAGACTTTTCGGATTTAGCTGCTAACACTGGAGCTTAAAATAAATTTTTAAATATGAAAGTGGGAATGATTATTTCACAAGTTCATTGAGAATTGGTTGCTCAGTAAAATATACAAGTTATTGTGTGGTTTGAGTGTTTTAAACTCTGGGTACCTCTATAGTCTCAAATAGCTTGGTAACTTAGGCAATAAGTTATTGGTTTTATCCTGAGAAAACTCAACTCTTTGATAGGTAAATTATAATCACAACTCAAGATCAGTGGGCTAAGTAAAAATGTCATGGCTAACAGACACAAGTATTTAGTTATTAACAAAGCTACACAGATCACGATACTTAGGTCTATTCTATCCTGTCATATAGAACTAATTTCAATGGTCTTGAAATCAACATTTCTTGGTTTTTGCCTGTAATTTTATGTTTTTGATCATATTTATGTTGTTTCTTTGCTAGTTGGTAGAAAAAAATTCTTCAAATTTTTTTATCAAACACCTATTCAAATTTTAATTTGTAAATTGCACATTATGTCTAATTGTATGTTTTTTATCGGTATATCTAATAAATTGGGTTTTTCCAGCACGACTGCCATAACTACATTAGGATAGGAGCTCGCACTGATGAGGAGCATATGATTGTGTGTGGAACCAACGCTTACAAGCCACAGTGCAGAACGTACAGGCTAGGGGTGAGGAAAAGCGTAGATTCTTGTCAATAGTTCAAGATATGGATAATGTAATGTAAATTAACAATGTAACAACTGTGTTGACCAAATGATTGAATCACTTATTTAACAGCTGCTTGTTTGCATTAGCAAGATAGAAAACAAGCTGGAAATGGTTTTGAGCGGTTATTTTTTACATGAAAAGTATGTTTGTTTTTTAGTATGGTTTATTTAAAAAATGGTGCAATTGTTCATTACACGGGCAAAAATTTCTTTTCAATCCTCGCTCAAGAGTCTCTTTACGCCCTATTGATGAGATTTACTGTTTTGTGAGGTGGAAGATCTTTTTGGCTTTCTTTGGGAACCTACACTAGCTGTATGTGATGGTTGGAGTAAAAAATCTTTCTAAGTCTTAATGAGTCATTCACGCAACACTTTATTTTTGAATTTGGTACTTTGATAGCAAGATATGAGGCATTTCCTCTGAAAAAGTCTTATTAGATATTTTACTAGTGAAGGTTATTCAATAGCTTCAATTAGATTAGGTTATTGTGGCTTCAATATTGGCTTTGTTTGATTCCGAAAATGAATCACTAGTTTTTTAACTTTGTAGTTGATTAATAATTCGAAGTCTGGATACTTTGTGGATGAAACATACTCCTTTATAAATTTATCGTTGTAGATCAGCTAAAGGCAATTTGTAAGGCATTTAAAACTCACAATGCTTGAGTACATTGATATCTTTGCTTCATGGTATGTTTTAATATATTTAAAGTTGCAACAACCACATAAGAATAATTCAACTACTGCTTGTTCTGTGGTATTACACTAGTTTAGTGTTGTCTAACAGTTTCAATGTTTGTTTTCAGCCTGATGGTGGAGCACTGGAACACCAGAAGGAGACGGAAGGTCAAGGATTCTGTCCTTATGATCCGACACACAATAGCACAGCTGTAGTCGCAGGTTAGTTACTCGCTTGTACTGAATAGGTGCCATTGACTACGGATGTGACCACAGTTCATAGCAAATTTTAATTGTGTATATTTAATTGAATCTGGGCTATGTGGTGGCTTGACCTCAGTGGTGTAGAGGGGCGGAAACGTTAGGGGTAGGGTAGGTTCCCACTCTGCTTTTACAAAAAAAAAACCTATAATATATTAATTGGCGACCGCCTTAATATAGGTGGCTCATCCTATTTTGTCCACACTGTTTTCTCTCCGACTTCCAATCCTAAATGAAATTGATACTTGTTTTTTCCAACCAATTTTGTTTTATCCAAAGTTGTGTCCACATACGTTTTGTTCCACTACACCACTGAGTAACATGGAGTAAACAATTAATTCATTCCTTGTTTAAGTGGTACCTAGTTTTAGGATAAAGGAAAATTAGGTTAATTTATTTACTTTTAGTTGCCAGTATACTTTAGTAGGCCTTCCACCTATATGGACCAGTTTAGAAAAAAACAATAAAGAAGAAAAGAACAAAGCTTTTCTCTTTTTGGTGGAGGGTGGAAAAAGTGGAATATTTGAACCAGGTGGGTAAAGTTGGTTGTAGATTAGAAATAAGCTTACATGAGTGTAAAATTAAAGATCTGACTTGAAAATAAGCAACTATAGTAATAGTCAATGGTATTAGCCTATGTAGCCTATACTCAACACATTGTAGCACACACATGTTCATTTACTCACTGATTTATTGAAACTATATGTAAGTATAGTGTATTTTAATCATAATTGTGGTTTTAATAAATGAACAGCTGATAACAAAAGAATACTTTTGACAGATGGGCAGATGTATTCTGCGACGGTGGCTGACTTCTCAGGGTTGGACGCTCTCATTTTCCGAGAACCTTTGAGAACGGAGAGATCGGATCTAAAGCTGCTAAACGGTATGTTAATATTATATGTATTATATTCACTAGGTTTTTGCCAAGAAGAATAATTATTGTTGTCTGTTTATTCACAGGCATAAATTTTAAAAGAAACAATAAGAAAACTTTATGAAATGTAAATCTTAAAAATGATCTTTATCTAAAAATTAATATTGACAGTTTTTTATATGTTTGATTGATTTCAATAGTGTTTCCAAGCATGGCAACACAATCGTTGAAATTTCTATTTACAAACTAATTAACTTGTCCCCTTGACTTTTTATCATAATAATCTTTCCACTACTTTTAATCAATTGTCTAAATCTAAATCCATTTAATATAAATAAGAAATACTCGAGAGTGCAACTAAAATTTTCTGTTAGCTTTTAACAGCTGTTAATGATCTTTATGTTTTACAGATCCTAACTTTGTCAGCTCAATGGTCTACGACGAATATGTTCTGTTCTTCTTTCGAGAAGCTGCAGTCGAGTATATGAACTGTGGAAAGGTATAAAAACATATTTAAATTATGTATTTAGCAAAAATGTGTATGGTTCATAAATCAATATGCGCTAAAACTATGATTTTGTTGTGGTCTTATATTGTATTTAGTAGTTAGACTCATACTTTAAAAAATTAAAATTTTCACACACCACTAGAACATGTCTTTCTAAAGAATAAAATTTTGTTTCCAATTATTCTAGTTTGTAAAAACCCATAAAAGTGTTTTCTTAGGTTTATATTTAATACTCCTATCCAACATAAATACACAGATAATATATTTTTTCAAACAGCAATATACAGTATTTATTTAGCATACCCTAAATTTAAAAAATACAAAAAAATATTGAAAACACAGCTCAATAAAAAGTTACGAATCAGTTCTAATGTGATAACATGTTACTACATATTAAAATCTATCTAATTACTCATCAAATTATCATTCTGTCCCCTGATACACAAAACCAATTTTGTTAACTTGCTTTTATAAAACAAGATTTTCACAAGAAATATGTAAATGTATTGATAGGCCAATAGTTAACGTTACTTGACAACGATTTTAGCTTTTCAAGAACACAGTATGTTCAAAAGGTTAAGACATTGGAAGACAGTCAAGTACTTGCAGTACTTAAAGACCCTACCAATTATTGACACACGATTTGTTGTGCGTTTGAACATTCTTAACAGTACCGGTAGCTATAACTTATAAGTGTCATAAGCACGATAAAAAAAATTCACTGCCTTACTGTCCTAGCTAGAAATTTTTTGGCTTAGCTACACCGTTTGCAAAAAATTATGCAAAAGTCAAACCTTTGGAATTTTGAACTATTTGACATTCTACCAAGTGAGTCTACCATTTTCATGACTGTCTTTCAATGTGCTTCCTATTACAATACCACATACAGTAATCTTTATGATATTACAGCTATACTGAGGATTGTAAGGAGGTCAGTTGTAAATGTACCCCGACTTTTGTCATGAACCCCTCTCTTCTAATATGGTCTATCTGTCGATGCGCCTGTCATGGTTGTTTTTATGTCGTGATGTCCGTAAATGTATCGTGGACAGTGATGTATTGTCTCAATGTTTGATGTTTCCCATTGTTGCAATCGTTGAAAAATCTAAGCCCAGTTATGGTTGGAATGTACGAAGGCTTTTTGCTTTGGTTTCGTCAAAAAGGGTATACCTAAGTGTTTTCCCTGACAAATGTACTGAGGTTTTTGTTCTGTGGAAACTGGATTTTGTTATGTTAATATTTTGGTTTTCAGTCCTTAAATTAAAGTTTTTGACCCCTAATCGAAGTATGTGTGAACTGAACATTTTATTCCAGTTTGGTTGGTTTTGTCATGATATTCCATTGATGCATGTTACTTATAAAAAAATATTAATGTGTAACAAAAAAGAATAAACATTTGTATTTAATTTTTTGTTGATTATTGGTGTGTTTTATTTTTCAAAATTGACTTTTCGTCTTTCCTATGAATTGAAACTTATTCAAGGTGTTTCAGTTCCAATCTCCTGTAAACTTTTACTGGGTTTTGTTGATTTTGTGTAAATATTTTACAATTTCAATTAAAGCTTAACACTTTTATAACAATTTCAACAAAATAGAATTTCATAGTACGACAGATTATAAAAGACCTTTATTTTACATCTATAAATCAAAACTAGGTCAGAAACAACACTAACTATTCCAAGCTAGGAGTATTGCTTTTACACTCTAATTCAAAATGTTTTACCATAAGAAAAATTATGTTTCATTGTTTATGTACGGTATATTCCATAGAACTTTCAATCTTACACCTTGGTAACAATTAGCAAAGAATTGCAGAGACCCATAACAAATTCTACGGGTATGTTACAGGTAAACCAAAATAGTGGATATTTCCTTTTTGATTAAAAGGTGTGCTTTGTTTGTTAGCCTAGTGGTTAAAAACCTATCTCTCGGATTCTTTACTAAGAGGGATGGGTACGATTGTACCATTGTACAAAATGCCACTGGTAAAAACACTAAAAAGGTCTGAGTTTGGTCCTTCTGTGAACTCTTTTAAACCAGCTGACTGCCGAGATAGTTATGTACAATATCCGGTTTGTTGTGTAGGTGGTGTACTCCAGGGTTGCGAGGGTCTGTAGGAAGGATAAAGGAGGACCTCATCAGTTCGGAGACAGATGGACGTCCTTCCTGAAGGCCCGACTCAACTGCTCCGTTCCTGGCGATTATCCCTTCTACTTTGATGAAATCCGTGAGTTTGTTTTTCGTGTTAAAACTACAGTAGACCCTGGATAACAAGTCTCTCATGGGGATTATAAAATGTGACTTGTTATCAATGTTGTATAGTTAAGGGTGACATAAAATCAAGGGTATTTGAAAATGACTTGTTATTGAGGGTTTTCTTATCAAGGTTTCACTGTGACTGCATATTAGTCCGATTTCAGCACTCATTTCCTTCAGTATGAATAACAATAAATAATTAAGATTAGAGGTATAGTTACTAGACAGTGTCGTGGACAAATAAATTCCATCAATTGAATGTTTGTCTTACAGAGGGAGCCAGTGAGGTGGTGAGAGGTCAGTACGGAGGTGAAGGAGCGGAGTTGGTCTACGGAGTGTTTACAACTCCGGTCAACTCCATTGGCGGCTCAGCAGTGTGTGCGTTCAGTATGAGAGACATGATGCGGACGTTCGACGGAGAGTTCAAAGAACAAGCCACCATGAACGCCAACTGGCTGAGGGTCTCTCCTTCCAAGGTAAGTCGTACGTTTGGTTAGCTTTAATTGTAAGGATATTCAATTTGCATAATATCTTTGGAGTATGGATAGTTTTTTGTCACCTGAAATTGTATGAATAGAGATAATGTTACACATTTTTGAGTGAACAAGGCTCAAAACCTAACAATCTCACTAAAAGGTTACGACCACAAAAATTTGAACTATAATTAATTACATTTCTAATCTTTAATCCAAACCTGAACTTAGAGTCTTCTTTCCTATCCATTCTCCCTCTCTTAGCTCTAACTTCTCATCGCCATTCTACATCCTTCTGACTATCTCACACTTTACCAAAGATGTCAAGTAAGTGTTAGTATTGAAATTTTAAACACACACAATGTTAAAATGTTCAAATTTAACCACTCAAAAATCAAAATACAATTTATCATCCCCCCAATCTTTCATTTTAACCTTTTACCTTCTCCTTTTAATCCCCACCTTTCCCTTCACCTTTTATTTTTGCAACCTTCCCTACCGGTTTACTGTCTCTTCCTTTTATCCCTCCCCATAGTCTACTCTCTAGTCCACTTTCCCTCTCCTCCATAACCTTCTTCGTGAACACTTCCCCAACAACCTGACCGTAAATTAACCCCTCTGTATGTTCGACAGGTGCCAGAGCCCAGACCAGGTCAATGTGTCAATGACAGTCGTACACTTCCTGACGTCTCTGTCAACTTTGTCAAGTCTCACTCTCTCATGGACGAGGCTGTCCCGTCGTTCTTCAGCATTCCCCTCCTCGTCCGCATCAGCTCCCAGTAAGTATGGTGTAAATGTTCGTCACTAATTTTAAGTTTTGAGCTCAGGTTTATTGGTGTATTTTGAAGTGCAAAGTGGATGTGAAAATTTATTGGATGAAGTAATATTTATAATGTCATATCCAAAATGAATTACGCTAAGTAATAAAATACATCTCCCAACACTACTGCTAAGGTTATATAGAACCCCTTATACTGTAAACATTTGCAAGATGGTTAATGTGTATTGACATTATGTTTCAAATGCATGGGATTTTGATCGGTTTAACTTATCTTCAATGGTCCCGATTGGACACTGAGAAATTAAAATATCCTTTTTTGGAGAAATAAATCAGCGAAATAAAATTCTTGTAAAAATTCATTAAGACTAAACGGTTTGCAGAACTTTCTTTATTCAGAGTTTTTTTTAAGTTTACTTTATTCCAAACAATATTTAATTGATACCCAGTTTACATCAAAGAAACTTCCTGATAAATCGTTACTCATACACATATTTTTAAGATAAGTTTGCATTTCTTATTCAATGAGTTTGTTCCAATTCTGTGTATCTTTTCAGGTACAGGTTTTCCTCTATCGCTGTTGACCCTCAAGTTATGGCTGTCAGTGGAGAAGTGTACGATGTTATGTTCGTCGGGACAGGTGAGATACTGTTTGTTGTTGATGTAGGGAAATTGTTTAAAGTATAGCCTCACGCTTATTAGGGAGTCTACTATTTTGTATAATACAAATTGCTATCAAGTGATAATGTATTTTCCCTCTCCGACCTTGACCAACTGCACAATGTGGATGGATAACTAACTCGGAAAATAATAAACAAAAAACAAAACCATTGTAAACACGTTGAAAATATGTATTTTTTTAACACATATATTTTCAATTAACATTGTTAGTTGTAGTTATTTCACAAGGAAATTGTGGGTCTAAGTGATTTATTTGTACTTGATCGTCTGTAGTGAAGGTCAAGGAATTTGAAGGTCAGATAATTGGAACTCTGTTGGCACTTAATACTGTAGAAGTCATTGACCAAAAGCAATTCAGCAAATGCTGTGCTAAAACAAGATTTTATTCCCAGTACATCCAAGGTATTTGTAGTAATACAACTGACGTTTATGTTCCCGCAGACGACGGCAGAGTGTTGAAGGCAATCAACATCGGCCAGCGTGGCAGTGAGCCGGCAGTACGCAGCGTGGTGGTGGAGGAGCTGCAGTTACTGCGTAGCTCGGAGACAGTCCGCAGGCTCAGTGTCGTCAGGGTGCCAGGGCAGGAGGATAGGCTACTGGTAGTGTCAGATGACGCTGTCGTCTCGGTGCCTCTGCATAGGTGTGGAAGTGGGAAAATCACAAACTGCAGGTATTGGAGACATTTCTGTGGGAAACTAAGCTATAGACGTGACCCCAGTGGGCTTGGACTAGTCAAAACCGAATCTTAAAACCCTAAAAACTTTGGAAAGGTTTCGGATTGAGATTTGATCAGTCATAAGCCTTCGGTTTTTGGTTGCCTCTTCACTAGTTTGTGGATACAATCATAATCAAATTTTTTCATCCTGTCTGCTAAAAAAATGTTGTGTAATATTCTTACAAAGAAACAAATCGATTTCATTCCTCTCAAATCGTAAAGATGAATTATTGTCATTTACATTATCAAGCTTTGAACTTCAAGCGTTTAAGCTGGCAGCAATGGAGCAAACAGATCACCTCTTAATAAAATAAGTTGATTACATTCTAAACTGCAACAGTTATCATAAAGCTTAGCTGAAAAAAGAGTTCTATTTTAGGATAGATACACCCTAAAGTCACAAAACATAATATTGATACAAACACCAGTGTTATGTTTTTGAATGTTTACTATGTATTTATTAGACCATTGTCTCTAATTTTACTCATGTAAATTAGGTAGAACTCAATTTTTTTTAAGTTCTTCGATCACCTGACTTTCCTTCAAAATACTATTTGCAGACTTTAATTCTTTAAGTAGCAAACTGTGCCTTTTGCGAGTGTATATGTGTAAAGTATTTTCTGGTAAATGAGTTGTGATTTCATAAGGTTCCGTTTTGATTGTCTAGTGACTGTATCGGCCTACAAGACCCGTACTGTGCTTGGGACACAAGATCTCGTCAGTGCGTGGCTCACGGAGAGAACAACAACAAGAAACATTTCTTACAGAACATTCCCCGCGGGGAACATAAGGCCTGTCCAGCACCTAGTGAGTGTTTAGTTATATTAACTGTAAAGTGTTTTATTCTGCTATTCTATCATTTATAATTGTCTAGTGCTTAAAACTCTGCTTTGTTTTGTAACTTTATATTGGTTGGAAAAGTTAAAATACACTTTTTACAAGTTAGGGTTGAATATAGACCACAAGGAGGGCTTATGTTTTAAAGAATTTTGTTAAGATATCAGGTGTATTCCTTCTCAGTGAGAAAGAGTCCACTCATAAGCTCTTGTGGAGTGTCTGAATAAAATTTTTCTATCCAATAAAAACGAGTGGTTTTTTTATATTTTAAAACTTTGTACTCATTGCAAAATTTTTGTTTCAGCACATGTCATGTCAGCCATGGCACCTCAACCTTTGGACGACAAGGATATAGGTAGGTTTAACGCTTTTTACTTCTTAAAACGTGTGTTTAAAATTCAGTTACAGTAAGACTCTCTCTCATTGAGATCTGTTTAATTAATTTGTCTTTCTGCGTTTGACTCAATAACGCTGCTTTTTCTATAGCCAAGTAAGTCACAGTTGTTTGGATAGCATTGTTTGGTTTTAGTAGATGTTATTACTGTACTTTGAAACGTTGTGTAAGTATTGGCTTGTGTTGTTATTTTAGTATTGGCTTTAAACTCTCTGTAAGCGAATTTACCTTTTTGGGAATAAGTGATACCGTAGGTTTCACGGTAAGACCTAGACGCGGACGGAAAGAAATTCGATTAGTCTACAGGTTTGCTGCAGCGGGGGTATTTTAGTTCTGACAATGGTTTTTTTTCTCCAGGTGTCTGAATGAGAGAGAGAGTCTTTTGTAGTAATGTATACAGAAACAATAGTTTAACATGTGACTGTTTTTTTCTCCGCTTGGCTTTGCTTCTTAGTTAATTTCCCCCCTGTATAACTGAGACAGTTATAAAGTATTAGGCCTACCAAGTATAAAATACAGGGGGTCTGTATTTTTGAATTAATATATTTAGACGCACCGAACACTACTACAAACTTAACATACATATATGTAAAAGAAGTTCCCCTGAGTATCAGTTAATTCTGACACATTAGGACAAAATAACGGGATAAAAAGTAGGTTTACCTTTAAAATACGATTGCTGATTTAGTTTTTTGTTTTGACCGCCATTTTGTTTGGATCAGTCAGAATTAATTGAAACTCAGGGGCAACACCTTTACATATGTGTTAGTCATGACTGTAGAATTTCAAGTCTGTAGCGCGCTCTATACATCTGTCATATCAACTAAATAGGTGGAACACCCGGTATATCCTATCAATAAAAAAATTAACTTTTTGAAAATAGAACATTATCAATTCTTATTCAAAAGTACCACCTTCAGTTATGGTTCTTTAGAAGCACATCTTCACTATTATTCCCAACCGATTTACTTCATTACCAAAACTTTCCATTGATGTTAAAAAAATAAAAACATTAAGCAAAACAGTTCTCTAATAGTGACAATCATCAGTAGACATTCTTTACTCTCTTATACCAACAGTGATAGAAAATTTTTACACGATACATCACTGTACACGACTATTGTTGTTTGTTTGTTGTTGTCTTCCTGACGTGCTTGTTGTTGTTTTAGATGAGCAGTGCCCGCAGTGTTCCGCTTGCAATCCTTCCCCTTGTACAAACTGTAAGTGTAAATATTCAGACTCATAACCTAGTATGTGTTGTATGTGTTATTGCACACAAAATACACCATTGATTCGTTTGTTAGTGTGTATGAATCTTTTAAAAGACTTTGTGTTTTAGATAAGCATATGTGGGGTCTTTTATAGTTGTAGTTTTGCAACTTCATTTTGTACATACTTTTATAAACATGCTAGTACATGTATGTGTGGTGTGTAAGATTACGCGTAATACAGTATCGATAATGGGTTGATTATTATTGCGTAAGAATGTGTGTACATGAGTTAGTTTGAGTAATACTTGTGTCACTTATGCGTTTACAATGTTTATGGGTCTTAAATGATTTTCCAAATATTCCAAAAAATATTTCCTGGATTAGTATGCATTTATTTATTTTCTTGGAAGAAAAATGTATTAAAGATACACAATTTTCAGGAAGAAAGATTCCACATTATTGCTTTTGGGTTAGTTCCAAAAAATGAACTCTCATAAATAATCTAAAAGTTGTAATTTTACAATTCTTTCATTCAAAACAAATTGATAAAATTATTTTATGATATGGTCAAAAAAACAATCGAAATCAGTAATTTACATCATCATTCTGTCAGCGGCTCATTTTAACTGTGTTTATTTTCACTCTAAAACATTCTTCAACTTTAACATGAATAGAATGTTTACTTCTATCCATAGTAAAATATAGCACACTCTGTAAATAGCTGAATTGTGTTAATTTCAATGGAAAATTGGCTACAGTTTGTCCATATATTGTGTACTACAATACACATTGCCAATGTTATAAAACTGACCTGTGTTTCTTTTGCCCACAGCTATCGACAGCAACGCCATCCCCAATTCGGAGAAGATTGTGATTTACTCGGCCGACACTCTAGGCATGGCCGTCGCTACCTCCGTGTTGGCAACATTGGTGGTCGGGTTCGTCGCAGGGTATTTGTTCTCTCGTCACTTCCGCCACGAGAGCAGTTACTCCAACATGCCTCTGCATAGCCATCAGCAGCTCAACAGGTAAACATGAATTTTTCAGTTGAAGGGTTTCCCTCTAACCTCAAAACTGAAAATGTAGCACTTTCAATTTGTTAAAGAGGTAAAGATTGATTGATGGTGTGATGAGTCTAAATAATGGATTAAGAAGTTTTCAGTTATTGGACTTAAGCTGTATAAAAAGCTGAAGAGTAAAAGATTATTAACGTCATGCATTAGGGTGTGTTGCTACCCTAGCAGATAGCACCTCGGAGACACGTTCTATTCTTAGGTTTTTGGACTGTGTGTAACAAACCATTCTTTGTAACAAAATTGTATATCAATACCTGTTAAATAATACATAGCCTAGTCAAACAATTTGTTTGCATAAAAAAGTAATAAAAACATAGCATTTACATTTTTTACTTTATAGCCTAAGTAATGATGTCGTGTACATAGTTTGTGATTTGAGTATAACGTTTTTACAAAATATTCTTTTTCCAGACTGACTGATCCCAACCTGAACGCTGAAAGCTCATCTTATTTGCCTCCCTGTGCCAACAACAAACCCGCAATCAACCTGGTACTGAACGTGCCGCCGAAAAATGCCAACGGCAAAAACGCCAACTCCTCCACAGACAACAAACCTATTCAGAAAGTGAAGAAGACTTATATCTGATACAAGGATTAGCACACAGTGTTACTGCCTTATTGTGAAAGTGAATCAAATGCCTTCCATGACTCGAAGCGAATTGGACTGACGAAATACTCATTTTGTGATCCTGACTAGACTTTTAGCGAGCGTTCCGCTATTGTATATGGAAAAGTGTTAATAATTACCTAGATATAATTCTACGATTGCCAGTAGGTTAAGGAGAAGTAATTGTATAAATATAAATAGCGAAGTTTTATAAAGTATAATATTAGGGTAAGATGTTACATTCCATAAATTAGAATTTTAATTTTTATCACTGAAAATCTAGAAATCGCATGCCACATAGACGTAGGGTAAAAGAAGACTGTGATTGTAAATGTATGAGTTGGAATCGGTTTTAAATTGTAAATTCCGAAGAGCTTTTTATGTGTTATATTTTAACAATTTTATATTTCAGTTGTAAATTCAAGTTTGTAGATAAGATTCGCTCGAAGCGAGTATTTATTGTGTACAGTAAAGAATTATTTGTCCCACCCTCTCTTTATCAGTTACTTATCTTGTAACGCACATATAATATTAGTGGTTGTCTTATTTTGTAGTTACGTCTTGAGCTCAGACAATAAGTTAGTTTAGTTGAGGTGCATCAGATACAGACGGCTATTCCGCTTTTTGTTTACCGTGGCTTTGACTTTAGACTAAATGATCTCAGTTTTTGGGTATATACTAAGTCGCCAGAAACGGTCGGGGATCATTTATTTGGGTTTTCTTTTCTTATGTTTAACAAAAGTGAAATGATGGTAAGCATTTCTTGAGACATTCACATAGTGAAAAAAATCTCTTGTTGGTCAGACCAAAAGTGAATTAAGTGAATTTTTCATCTTTCAAAAAGTGAAAATTTCAACAAACTGGAAGTTTTCTTTGAACTTTCTGGATTTCAAATTCAGGTAAACAATGATTTTTGTATCGTAGAAACATACACGAAACCCCAGTGGATGCTTCAACAGGAATCTTATCATCTTGTCACTTTACTTAAAAAGTAGATGTCTGTGTTATTTCTGAATTGTTGCTCTCTGTAAATATCTAATTATTTGTAAATTGTTTTTATTTTGTAAGTATTGCTGCTGGATATTTTTAGCCTCCTATACGAATGTTATCATATTGAAGATCAGTATTTTGGGCTGAACCTTTTATTTTTGTAAATGCTTTTATACGATGTAAACAAAACAATAAAATTTCTTTTTTATTTTAAGACTTTTCGTTTCCAACTTTACCCCTTTTTTAGAGAACAACCACAATTTCATCAGCTGCCCTTTTCCTTTGGGATACATTAAGGAAAAATTAGTGGATCTAAGTTATCCAAAAATAGTGTTCTAGGCAGTTAAAGGCACACAAAAAGGTTCCTAACACACTTTGTGACAATTCACCTCTTCAGAAGAAAGCGTAGAGTGTAAAAATCTGATACGAGACACTAATTTAAACGGAAGAAACCCTTTTGTAGCGGCAATATGTTTGTTAATTGTGAACTTTTTGTATGCTACAAAACTACCTGGAACTCTTTTCTTGCCGATCCACTTATGAGAATAGTTTTTAGCTTGTTCACAACTGGATTCAACATCCCCCTTTAGTTAAGCTTTTAATCAAATGTATTAAAAAAGACACTTAATGGCTTAATGGGGTCTTGGCTATAAAACCAGCTGAGCTAAGTCGTTTGCAAAACTATCATCAAATCCATTCAACACTCTTCTTTGACTTAAAAAACAAACCCTGGCGAAAATACATCTTTGACATTCAACTACCAAAAACCTAAATCTATAAATCTGTACATCCAATCCCTGATTGAGATTTCCGTCACACACCAACCAGCAAAAAGAGGAACTAAATCTAAATTAATAAGGCTTAATTTGTTTGTTTTCGATTTAATTTGCTTAAAAAAACCTAATAACAATAATCACTCCACTCCACTTAGTTCAATAGCCAAGTTTGTCGTTGAGACTGGTTCGCCCGTCCCCAGTTTGTCCCACTGGGGGAGTCCAAGTACAGTTACTGTAGTCTTCCTCATCAACCTGTGATAAAACATAACAGTTTAGGTTATAATAAGGTAAGTAACTCGTGATTTGTCAAAACCGAATCCCAAATCTCAAAACCACCAAAACTTAAAAGTTTTGGTTTTGAGATTAGATCATATCAGTCTCAACACATCTTATAGACATTTGCATTTTAGATTTTCTATATACAATATAAAGCACTTTTGCAAGTTTTTCTTAAATAAGTAAGGATAAAAGATCATGAGCTATCTAGCAACAACTCACTGTTCCACGCACAAGCTGGCAGCACTGGAGCGAACAGATTATCGAAACAAGTACGAAATGCTACAAAACAACACCAAAGAAACAAGTAGTAGTCTAAACTATATTCAGAACATATGATGATGATGATGAAAATCCAAATAAAAATTTACCACTAAATGTTTGAATTGATCTTACATTCACGTTATTGCAACTTTTGTTATTGTCCCCATTAAATATCATAGTTACTTCCACCGCTTGGCGCTTACCCATGATCAGGGTTGTTGACAAGCTGATCGGGGAAAGTATGTGTCAGATTGCTGATACCGTTTATTTGTTGTAAAATTAACAAACATGCAGGATGAAATGAGAGCGATAGTTGAGGATTTAAAAATCAGTAGAGTGTTTTGAGAATCTCAAACTCTAAAAATCAAGCTTTGGTTGTACATACCTTCTGTGGGGGTTGGTGTTTTCTTTTATGTCTATTTCTGTTATCTGGTCTATTTTTCTTCTTTTTTATTTCAACTTCATCAACTGGATCTTCTTGTTCTGGTTGGATTGTTTCATCTATAAAATAATTCATGATTCAAATATCAATGAATTAAATGAATTACTGTACTGTTAAAATATGCGATTCGTAATCTTTTATATAAAGCTAATAAGAATCAGGAACTTTTGAGAAATTCGTAAGCCGTACACCGCATACTTGAATGAAAAGGTGTTAAACAACAAGGTGTTGATGTTAAACTTCCCCAAAAAATATAAGTTAATTAGCCTAATTAAAAGATTGTTTTTTACCGCATTCAAAATATTTAATTTAAGTCAGATATTACATTTCATTTTATTGATTGTTTACTTTTCCCCTTAGTTGACCTTTTGATTTGGTTCTTATAGATTTTCTATGTTAACATTACGAAACATTTATTAGCTTAGATTCTGCTACACAGCTTATTGATAATAAAAAAAATTTCAATTTTAATAAAAAAAGGAAAAAACTAGACTTATCAACTAGTTTTTTGTTTTTTCTTAGCTTTTGCTCAGTTGAAATCTTATTTGCCGCACTTTGTTCAAACCATCTCCTCGATATAAATAAATAAACTTTTCCAATAAAGAAACACCAAACAACAATAGCCTTACCTTCAATCCTAACTTTCCCTCCTACTTTCTTTTCCGTAATCTCTTCCTCTTCATCTTCTTCAAATTCTTCTTCTGCTTCATTCATCGACTGCCGCGTAGTCTCCAATGGCAATGCCATCTGCGGTCCTCGTCTCTTCTTTACAAGCCTCTTTCCAATGCTTCCTTGTGGAAGTTCTTTTTTCTTCTCTTTACTGGGTTTCCTGCAAACCAAATGAAAATTAAATTACCATTTCAAATGTAAAAATTGGCCTATGATTGGTTCTCTTTTAACCCTATAAGGAAATTACAAACAAGTGTTGCCAAGATTGCCGGAGAAAATCACAGTATCGCCGAGACTGCATGAACAAAGGCGATTACGGCAGGAGAAGATCATCGGGGTTTGCTTTGCTATCGAAAAGAATTTTTTTCATCGGCCTATGTTGGCTTTCTGAAGGCTGGGAAAAATCCTCCTGTGGGTGGATGTGGCACGCTGGAGGTAGGTTGAAGATCCCTGAACTTACTTACTTTAAAACCATGGGGAACAAGGTCAAATGCACAAATTATATTCAGATCTGTTGTAACTGTTATAATTCATAATTTTGTAAATTAACACATCCTACAAATGAGCCTAGGGCCCGGATAGAAAGATGAATAGTGTTAAAAGAGGTTACTAAACCAATATCCACCAATCTTTCAATCTATTTCATCATATGTCTACAAATTGAAGAGTTAATTTTGTTTAGTATAACATCAAAAAATTAATAGATTACATAACAGACTCTATTCAACTAAACTTGAAGCCCGTAGGATTCCATAAGTTAAAAAAAGTAACAAGACTGTTAGCAATTTTGACAAAGTAAAATCAACAACTTACACAACAAAAGGTTCCAGTTTGGGAAGTTCCGTGGGTTTAGCCAGGTTTACCAACTTCCGCAATCTGCCTTCCTCCACTCTTAGTCTAGCCACTTCGTCCTGCATAGAAACAAATGGTTTACTACAGGAATCTAGTTTCATGAATAAGTTCATCTTTTATTCTAGTAAGGGGACGGTTACAAATCACAATCCAGAATGCATCTAAACAAATGTAAAAACTGTCTTTAGGCTCAATACTGATTGTCAATGTTTCTTCATTTGATTAACTCTCTCCACTAACCAAAACTAGCTTGAATACACTAGGTTTTTTTGTTTTTTCTTAGCTGTTTCTCAGTTGAAATATTATTTGCCGCACTTTGTTCAAACCATCTCCTCGACTGGAACTCAAGATCACAGTAAATTCTACTCCTAAATCAGCAGTAAATTTTATTGTCAAATTTCCCCATAGGGAATAAGTTATTAACATTAACGTATGTGGCTTGGCAAGACCTACACCCATAACGGAATTACTTTTTAATTTTGATGTCCCCAGTCAAAAAAAAACTATTCTTTAAAATTGTTCATGACATTTTAATTGTGTTCCTGAACTCAAAGCTTGAGTAATTTTGGTCTGATTTTGATTAAATTTGCCATGAAAGTGTAGTCCTGGATTTTTAACTATTAATACAACTAGACATCCCATCCAAAAAGTTGTTGCCAGTTTTAAAACCAAAATCATAGTAGTTAATGTGAGCCAGTGACAGATTGTGCTATTCAATGTTAGTATGCATTTTCTTCAAATACATGTAGGCCTACTTTTTTACCAATAAAACCAAATGGAATGACTTATGAGCTGGTATAGCAATAGTTTTGACTAAAAAAAGGCCATCAACGTGACTAAGAAAAGATATCATATAGAGTTTTAGTCACATTATGTACCTGGCTCACACAATTGTATTCTTTTTAAAGGAAGAAATAAGTCACAGCTGGTCCATATAGATGGGAAGTCTACTTCATTATCCGTTGGCCTGGATACACTTGAACACAAATGAAGTCGTAAATTTTTATGTTTTGAAAGTCAAAAAAAGAAAAAATGGAAACCCCCAATTTCATCATCAAATCTAAAATCGGATAACATTTAACAATGCCACCCGTTTAACCGCTACGTTATTTTGTCTCTTAACTTTTATGGGACGATAAAGAGATGTTTATTAATCCGCCGATGTTTATTGTTTATTTAAAGTCCGCCAGCACTGGATTGTTTTTCATCACTAATTTTTATTGAGTGACTGATCAACCAGGAATGTTACGTTTCATGTCTATTGACTCAGTTTTATAGTTTAAAACTTCTAACAAACTCCAATATGAGGAATTTGTAAACAGCAAGACATTGCGACCTGAAGATGTGCTTCATTTTCCGCAGTAGAGCTGTAGTTGATATTTACTGTAATGTTCTGACAGCACAATCATTTATCTGTCCCCAAATTGACTAAAATATGATTTGATGAATATTAAAGTTGATTCAAAAGTTACCTTTGTCTTCTTGATCTGTATCTTGTCTGCTGGAGTTTGTGACAGATTTTTCATGTAGTTGTCCAATTCATCGTCAGTTTCTCCACTTCCCCTCCCCGCCTCCGAGTGAGTAGCCATGTTCAGCATGTCGCTCAGTCTATGCTCTGTATTCTCTAACTCCTTCACTAGCTTTTCGTATTTCTCCCTCTGTCAAAATAAGCACAAGTAGATTTAAAAATATTAACTGATGTTAGGTAATGTTTTCTAGACAGGATTATTTTTTAAACTAAAAATGAAAATGAATAAACTAGTAAAAGTAATGTCCCAGGACGGGACAGTTCCGGACTAAGAAAACCAGAGCGAATTAGCAGAAGTACGGAAATGTTCTGTCCAAGTATGCCAGTGGATTAAGTATAGTTAGTAAATAATAATTTTGTTTCAATCATCGAGGTTGAACATATAATTCAGAATTTCAATTGAGAGAGGTTCCTACAGAAGGTGATTTTTGAGGATCAAAAATATATAAAATATTGATAAGAATCTTGTAAAAAATACTTTATTCAGTTCCATTACATTTCTCCAAGGATTGACAGATTCTTACTCACCAACGTGTCATAAGTTTCTACTTCAGTCTCCAGTTTTCCAGTCTGTGCCATTCTTTTTTGTCGTTTCTTCTCAATCTGCCCAGTTCTGTCAAGGAAGTTGTCTTCATCAGAATCGTAAAAATCTACTGCTTCCCAATCTTTGGCTGCTCGCTTTTTACTCTCTGAAAAATGTATACACTTTTGTAGACTCTTGAAGTAGGATTAATCTTCAAACACAGAAGTATCTAACATAAATTCAGCCAACTAATAGTAATTTTTATTACAGACACAAGCTTGACATATACCGTACATCATGTATACTTGTCACCTATTTCACCAGCTGAGCTGGAACCAAAAGAAATGTCTGTTGACCAATAATTGAGTTTGAATTTAAGCTTCTGTCGGCAGATGATGAGTTTTACATCCAATGTTTTTCTTAGTGTCTTTGTGTGTGCAGAACAGGATCACTACGAGCACTCAAGTTCAAGATATATTATTTTTATTTGGCTTATGAAAAGTGTCACTGAAAATTTGACAAAGTATTTTGAGATTGTGTGTGTATAATGTATTTCCAATTGAGAAGACTGACTGTACAGGTAAGCCTGCTCTTCCTATCTAAAACAAAATCTATATATACCTACTCAGCTTCCAAAAAATAGGAATGGGTTTTCAACAATCGATGATTTGTTAACACTACTTGGAACTTATTTTTCAAACTTACCATACATCTCATATCTTCTGCCATTTTATGAAAGTCATCCACATTGCACCACATGTTGTAAACAATGAAAATACTTCATGCAAGAGAAGAGGTCAGTATTGAACCATCGAGCGATTGCCTTGTCACTTGGCGAGCACTATACGTCTCAACTACCCAACTATTATCCTACTTACCATGAGTAGACTGTCTAAGCAGGCCTTGTCTATCCAGCAGTCTACAAGCTTCCAATGCCGCTTGTATCACCGCTTCCTTCTTCTTCCCTTTGACACTAGCCTCGGCCACGAGGTTTCCTCCACCTCCGTTGTCCACCGGCAACCTGGAGACAACAAACATCAAACACTCACATTTTTGTATTATTGTATTGGGGTATCCATAGCTTCTTCGGTCTTTTGTAGCACCTTTCAGCCCAGCCTATCAGCCTTAAGCGGCAATTAGCTATCAACACAATTAAGCCAGTCTCGAAGCATGCTTTATGGTTACCGGAGCTATGGATCCCTTTGAAACCAATGGGACTGTTTTCCTAGCAGTGCAATGCATTAATAACTGCTAACCGCGCAGCACAAAGTACGCAGCCTGATTGGGAGTACTGCCTGGAGAGCAGTCTGTTGTGAACACTGCTGAACTTGGCTATTGTTTATGAAGGAAATATGGAGATCACTACGAGTACAGTTTCCAAGTTTACTGTTGATGAAAACAGTTTAATTGACTGTGTGTCTGAGTTTGCACCCACATATCTCCTAGCTTTAAACAGTTCACAAACCGATTTTTGACTTTTGGGCAGTAGAGCTGAGTGCTTAGCAGATCACTGTGGGACCCAGAAATTCGCTAGTCACGCAATGAATTGGCGGATTTCTGGGAAAACACTTATGCACTGGGTCCTATTTTAATCATGCTGTTCCTGACCATGCTGCGTTCTTAAGCTTAATCACGTGGCACGCAGCACAGTTACTGAAGTTGGATGAAAAACACCCTGAAATACACCCAGTTATTTTATTTAATTTGGTCTCTTATGCAGCATGCCAATTCCAACCTTCTCTAAAAGAGCCACTTTTTTGAGGGCTAGAAAAATTTGACTTTTATTAATATGTTTGGATATAGACATTAACTTCTGAGGCATCTAGAAAAATCATTAATTATATTTCTAAAGTTACATGTTTTTTGTTGGTTGCCTTGTGTGATGTCCATAGTTAGTCACTAATGTGCATTTTAGGTGTGGCATCTTCAGAGTTACACTTAGTTATACAAATACAAAATGACACTCTACTATTTACAGGCGTTTGTGTATCACTATTGTTTTTTCACATCACTAAGATCATGTGAAAGCGCATCACGGTTGGTGCAGGCCGAGAGATCCGTCGCAGGAGGTTCACTTCAATTCACAACAGTTTGACCAATTAGTTTAGTGTTAGGGCTGTGGATGGACTGGGGGTGGGTTTTCCCAAATTGTGTCTGCGATGTAGCCAGTTTTCTACAGGATTGCCAGATGTGAATTTGGTTTCTATTCCATGAAAAGGTAAAATGTTAGGCCTAAGGTATATGATGCACTATGGGGCGTGAGAGACATTAGCGCCCCTCCCTTGCACGGGAATTTTTATCATCCTTGCGACCCTGGGCTGGGCCCATTTGCTATAGCGGCTCTAATGTGCATCAGTAAAAAGTGTTGACATCTTAAATACAAAGCAACCAAAAAGAGGATAACTTATAGGATGTTCGTGAAACTGGTAAAACAAAAACATAATCTTTCCTTTTTGCCCTCAGTGACCAGTAAACAAACACCTTGTTATCACAAAACGTTGGTAAACAAATTACATGGTGAAATATATCCTAAAAAGTAGCCTTAACAAAGCATAATACATGTAGTTCATTGATAACTTTTAGACTACTTTAGCCAAATTGGACCATAATTACTTATACTTCGTATCAAAACTCCCAGAAAACTACCCTTACTTACTCTATCCGGCATATATAGTGGCCAAAACCCTTTTCCTCCACATCATAGACCAGTTCTTCTCCCTCTCTCTCAAACCAGCCTCGTAGTGTTTTCTTCGGATCCTCCAGGTATAAATCCTCGTTCAAAGTTGAAGCGTACGGATTCTCCGTCAGGTCGGTTTCTTCATCTGCATCCTCGCCTGAATAAAATTTCATAAAACGTGAACAGATTTTGTGTTTAAAGCATTTTCTCTTCAAGTATTGTCTGTAACCACACAAAATAGGCCTTTGTTTTGTTTTGGTGAAAATCAGCATTAAGAATTATTGGTTCTGTTGAGATAAAGACTAAAAACTAAATAAATCTTACACTTTGCTGTGTATCTAATAAACTTATCATGGGACATCGAAATAATGTACAGATCCCTATACAGTACCATCTTTTTTACACTTAGCAACATAAACAATAACAACTGTTATCTTGGTATTTTAACTAGAAAATCGATTCAGAATAATGACCACTAGCTTTGGACATTACGTGATAAATTAATTAAAACACGTTCACAAACTACATTTAATGAAGGAGTTTGGGCATCTAAGTATTGAGAATATTACAATAAATTGACATTCGAAACGAAAGAAATAAAACTTACCCATGCCCCAATCAATGCCTTTTTCTTCTTCCATTTTCAATCTCTCTTCTTCTGCAGCCTCAAGTCTCAATTTTTCTGCCTCTAGGGCTGCCAATCGTTCCTACAACAGAGAAAAGATCTTAAGAACATTTTAGCTACAAAATAGGAACAGTAGTGATCAATGAGGAATAGTAAAACATTCAAATTCATCATTAGGTTTGAATAATAAAGCTAGTGAATAGTTTCTTGTATGAGATACAGCTCTTTTTTGCTTCAAGGTCTTCATCATGAATAATAATAAAAACAGTCGTGATAGTTATAAAAAAATAACGGAGATCGAAAACCCCAACAATTTTAGTACAAAAACAAAACTTGACAGCTCATTAATGTTGTAGTTGACAGCGTTAGAAAGTTAATAGGAATTGCTCACAATACTTGTTATGCTTCGTTTTATACTAGTAGGCTATCTGGGTGAACCGATGCTTCTAGGTGTTGAGATTGCTTCGGCAGAAAATTCAAACAAACACAGTTTTTTTGTTTTTTTACTACAAACAAGGATATTTTGTGTTGAAATACATTCTGTAAAGACACTAAATGAAGTAAACTGAAAATCAAAATTTATTTTAACAATAGAAACATTTAGTTGCCTTGTAACGCTGGGTTGTTCGGCCACGAATGGGTAACAGAGTATTACTATTTGAGAAAACTATTTAGAATTACTAAGGTTGCATTAAATACGGTTAGCTACCTTGTGCTGCTGTCTCAACTCCGTTACGCTCAGTTCTGACTCTGGTTCTTCGTCTTCTTCTGGCCCTTGGAGGATGAACATTCGCGTACTGCAGCCTATCTTCACCATGTGGCCCACCTTAAACAAGCCATCAGGTGAATATGCTTAACAGCTGTTAGCTCTTGCTGCAGACCAATCTTTAGATATATGGTGATGCAGAAATGTTGTAGGTCTACACAAATGTAAAAAATAACCTAGCCTAAAAAATTGCTCAACATGGCACAAAGAATTTAAATGTGTCAATAAAATGGTATACGAATAGTTCAATAATAAATATGGTATCCTCATGTTAGTCTAAATCACTTATTTAATCCCATCACAGCTTAACAAAATATGTCAACTGTTTTCTTGTTAAAACACCGTCGTTAGCTTGTAAGTTACGGTAGCCTACTTGTAGAGTTGATCAGTTGCTAAAATCGTCAAGAGGTAAACACAGTACGGCACGACAAAATTACGATAAAATAATAATAAAGTTTGAACATTACAAACTGGCCTGTTCTAACAAAAGTTGACCGACCGCACAGGTAGCATGAATTTATGGTTACTGTAGACAATACTGGTCCAGTTTGTCCCTTTCTTGCATGGTGGTTAACTAGCCAATCCATAGACATACCTTGACACGAACAAAAATCTTCGGCTTAACCTTCTGCTTGTTGTGGAAGGTGCCAAGGGAGCTGCCGAGATCGTAAATGTAGAAGCCGATGTCGTTTTCCTCATCTGCTACAGCTCGGTATTGCAGCACTGCATGGTACCGAGAAACAGTTGGGTGCAGCATGGGTATATCACAGTTCTCCAGCCTACCAAAAACGTGGAAACTGCGCAGTGTCAGATCTAAGGTCTTGACTATCGTCCCGTTTTTCAGTTCCTGAAAAACAATGTTTTGTATAAATTGATTTACTTGGATGACCAAATCCTAAGGAACCGGTGCACAGAGCACCTGCCTCTTACCTTTCAATGATTTTTTTATATTTTTTTTTAGACATTAAGAGACACATTAGGTGAATAAAGCAACTAATTTACAATAAATTAAACTTGTTGATTTTAAGAGTGATTTACCTAGACATAGGCCTACTTTAATCAGGTTGAAACAGTTTTAAAAAAAGTAGCCCATCCAAAATTTGTTTAAGTAGCCTACATAAACTGTTTTGTCACTCGTCTACAATCTGACAGTAACCAAACACTCAACTGAAGGATCAGCTGTTATATCACTGGGGATCCTTGAAAGCAAACTTAAGAAATAGGGTCTAAATTAGATGTTAGGGGGAAAAGTCCTCAAGGAAGTGCAGGATAGTACCTTTTTAGTAGGCATCATTTGTTCAGTTCTTTCACCTAATATTTTTTCTTTAGCCTGTTTGGAACAGCTGATGATTTAAAAATGATTAATAATATTGTAAAAATAAATATTCATTTCTGTTCTTCTTGTAAGCATGACTTTTATTTTTTCTCTCTTAATTTTTTCATTAATTTACTCAAACACTCCACAATATCATTAGACGTCACGGCACCATCGTCAACATGTCCCACACTAGCGGTACATCCATAAACATATTTAGTGGTTTAGGCGCATCTCCAGCATGTCTTGTGGTCACGATCACAATCTTGAACATTGCTCGCGATCACGATACAATTGTCAACATGTTAACGCTTGGGACGTGATCGTCAACTCATCCCGCGGTCACAGCACCAGTGCAAACAACATTTTTATAATTTACTGTGTTATCGAACCTTGCCGCGTCCGGATAATCTCAAGACTCTAACTTAAAATTACTGATTCAACTTAATCCCCTGCATGCATTTAAAAGTGGAACTGGTTGTTAACTGAAGAGAAACTACAGTTAAAAACAAGTAGGTAAGTTTGGCTACAGTTTTTTTCCAGATTAGTTACAGTATTTATAAGTTAACAATTTGACTTACCTCAAGTTTATATTCACGAGAAGGAAGTCCTCCCCATTCGGGTTCAATGTAGGGCAGTGGAGGAATTTTAGAAGGAGGTTTATTTGATGTTTGGTCTTTATTAGGTTTTAGAGATGAGTTTTCATCAGATTGTTTTTCTTTATGGTCATTTTCTTCAATTTCACTTTGCGTTTGTTTAATTGGGCCTGGTTCTTCAATACCTCTACAAATTCTATTTTTACCTGTGACGTTTTTACCTCTCTGCGGCCCAATTATCAGTTGAGGTTTCTTAAATGGTTCATTTGAGACATTTTCTGTACTCTTATCCCCACTGACTTCAACTGGGTCACTTTGAACACTGTCTTCGATGTTTGTTTCTTCCATACTGTAATTCAAATTCACTAAATCCTAATGATAGTTTCTTTGGTTTTAAATTGTGTCATGGAAGGATACAGGTAACGTACAATCAGTTCTAAGAGGCCTGTAAATAACCTAGCAACTTGTGGGAAGCTAGGCCCAAGCAAGGAACAAAGAACTAACTATTCAACTTGATTATAACACAGTTCTACTACTTAATACTTAAGTATGAGTAGTATTCCAAAATATATCGGAAGCTATCAATAGCCTACGAAAAATAAACCTAAAAATATCACCTCAGAAAAGGCAGGACCAGGACATAACATAACCAAAACAAAGTGTGAAGGGTGATTCTGATTCTGACACTGACACTGACTGACAGGTGCGATTTTGAGAAGTGTGGTTAGTGGACTGGAGACTGGACTGGACTGGAGACTGGGACTGGAGACTGGACGGGACGGACAGTGGTTGACTCAAAGCCGCACTCCGCACTCCGCAGGCAGACAGAATGCAGATCAATGAGCGCGTTCTGGCCCTCCTGGGAACATGCACCGGTACCTAGGAGGATTACCGGTACATGTTCCCAGAACGCGCCCAATCATCCATCGACTCGAAGTGAGAAAGTCGTTGAGAGAAATAGTAGGGAGAGACCATTGATTATAGGTGCTATAGCCTATTTAGTCAATGGAGAGACAGAGGATAAGATAATGCAATATTAAAAAATGCACCTCATAGCCTACCTCAGAGTGCGTCACTGTCTCAAATAATTGAATAAAATATAAATTAACCTCTTTAACAAGATTACATTTACTAAGCTACCTATAGTATTAATGTTTAATTCAACGTAATGTTCTATAATCAACAGTAATAGGGTGAAAAGTACTGTACAGTTTTTTTTCTCTATGGCAGTATTACAAATCAATCAAGTCAGCTTTCAAATGGAATGAAATATCAAAATAAACAAGAAGAAATCATCAAACAAAAATTAAACAAACATAACAAAAACTACTGTCACTGTCACTGTTGAGTGTTGAATAATAAGGTATTTTTGTTTTGGACGTTATGGTTGTTCGTCTCCGTTGGGAAATTAATAGGCGTTAGCAAACACAAAATTTCTGCAACCTCCTAATAATTATAAAATAAACCTACCGTAAGTTTAAGTTACTCTAGCCAAATAACTTAGTGCAACGAAATGGGCCCAGGCCCAGTCTTCAGACATTACTGATAATGTGACAATACCTTGTGTAACCTCAGTGATTCTCTAAACCTACAAGTTAGTTGAGTTAGAAATTATTATTTAGGCCTAAATTAGTATAACTAAAATGTAGGCCTAGGCCTAATTTAACTTTTGGGGACAGTTTCTTAACTGGGCTACGCTAATATCGATTGAAACTATTGGTTCGATTAGTAAACCTTCATGCGATTTTTTCACCATCAGCAAGTTTGGTTGGTTAGGTTAGGTTATGATAGTTTTATTTTATAATAGATTTTTTAAGTATTTACACCACTTGTGTAGGACGCCTACATTTTTAACCACATTTTAGCTAACAAGCTAACTAATTTCATAGGCCTAGGCTAAGTAGGAAATGGGATTTCTAAATCTTCGATGCTGTATTGTAAGTTAAAGTCTTCCAATTGGGAGTAGCCTTAAGTAAGTAATGACAAAAAGACATTTTACCGGGTACAGTTTCATAACTGGGCTACGCTAATATAGATTGAAACTATCAAATTGAAAATATTAATCAATATTTTAAAATATATCTATTAAGTTATATAATTAAACTATCATAACCTAACCTAACCAACCAAACTTATCAATTATTAATCGATATTTTCAATTTGATAGTTTCAATCGATATTAGCATAGCCCAGTTAAGAAACTGTCAAGAAGTGTCAACTGTACCCGTGTTTAGACCTCGTCTGGGTACGACTGGGCTTTGCTAATATCTATTGAAACTATCGAATTAGAAATAATATAATATCAATGAGATAAAACCACTAAAAAGCTACTAGGCCCTATGGCTTTTCTCAGGATCAGACTAAACTTAGCTACCATCCTCAAATACCGGTATGTAGCCTAGTACCCAATTATCAATTGTATCAATTATTTAAGATGGGGACGCCACTATTTGTGTATTTTAACCCAAATATGAGTGTAGGTTGAGTGGCGGGCTGCACTTTACTTTACGTCCTACACTCATTCGAATGAAAATATCGATCGATATATCGATTATTCGATAAGTTATATCGTTTGGTTAGTTAAGTAAGGTTAATTAACCTAACTAACCAAACGATATATCGAATGAAACAATCGAATAACCGATATTTTCATTAGAATGAGTGTAGGACGTAAAGTAAAGTGCAGCCGAGTGGCGCGATCTTGTAGTCTTGTTAGTGACTAAGGCCGACATGTTCCTTAAAAGACTGTTAATTAACAGCCCATACATTTTCATTTTATGTTGTTTGTTGTTGTTCCGGATCGGTATGACATTCAACAAAAGGTTAAATTACCTGTGTCCGCCGGTCGATCCTAATATTGCTGTGTCCTATTGGTCGAGACTCAACACACGACCGACGCGCGTCTACATGTCCGCCATAGCTCAAATAAAAGTAGACCTACCGTGTATTTTTATGTTTTAATCGTGATGTATTTAAGTTCGTGTACGTGTATCAAAACTTCAAGACGCACCCAATGGGGAAGATCAAGTACTTATATTAGGACTAATGATGGCAATTTATTCTGCCGAAATGCATCTCCTGTAATAGGACACAGCAATATTAGGATCGACCGGCGGACACAGTTAATTCAGCCCATACAGCCAGTGGCAACTAAGGGACCTACAGTTTATAGTGGAATAGAATATGGTCTAGACTCATCAACTAGGATAGAGCTTAACTTGTGTCAGGCGCAGCTATCGACTATTTTATTCTATGTAGGCATATATAACTTAAGTAAGGCCTATATATAGCCTACCCTGGTGAGTATACTGACTTACTTACTTGAACACTACTTTGCATACACACCAATTTGGAACAGATTTCAATGATAGTTTTTTTTTGCCTAATGTGATGAAACTAATTTTTGCAGGGGGCAGGAACTTGTTAAACAATAACATGGTAGTGAATTAAGTAGAAAACACAGTGTTAGTCTAAAATTTGAAGTCCAGCTTGCTGGGTCGTGATACTAGCTTAATGAAGACACACAAATTTATAGGCAGCCTTCATAAAAGTGAAATAAATGTAGGATTATGTGCAATAACTACTTATTCACTTGATTTAGGCTACCTACTTACTAACCAAATATAATTTGTTCTTTAGTCAAATAAGGTTGGCAATACTGTGCCAAGATGCTGCCGAGCATGCCATCGTTGATGACTCCAATCAGGGAGTTAGGGGATGACTCAAGTTCAAGCAGTGATGATTCACCAACTGTTATTCCGGTAAGCTGATTTGATTACTTAGGTTAGCCTTTTAAATTGTAAAACTTGTATGCTACACTGTGTAGATTCTATATCTTTGTTCAAAAACCAACTATCCCTCTTACTGTGCACACTTAAAACATAGACAATAAACATTTTGACATAGACAATTTGAGAGTGTTGGAGACAAGGAAATGAAAGCGTAAATTCATATTTTACTCTAAGTATATTTGTTTTTGTGTTAATAGGACCCTATTATTGAATGATTACCGGTAACATTCTTTCAGGTTGAAAACGGTGAGATAAACCAAAACCATATCAACAGTTCCTTGCCAAGCTCGTGAGTATTCTGCTTAAAACTCATACATATTAGTATGTTTAAAATTAATGATGTAATTAATGGTTTCATTGTGCTTTGTAGCCCAGGATAACTTGCAGGGAGAATTTAAGACTTCTAATGTGTACTGATTCTTTTAACAGTGCAATTTAGTTTGAAAAAGTCAGCTGTTCAGTAGCTACGCTGAATAAAATTAATGTAACAATTGGAATAAAGAGATATTTATTTATTTAGAGTTAAATTGTTTAATTTACCTGCTTGTCGTTAATCCTACGTTTATGCCAACCGGTTTCTAGATTAAAATCTCATCATCAGGCTTCTTCAGATGTCATATCACTCAAGTTGAGGTCATCGGTGAACACAAAAACACAAACAAAAATATGAGTAAAACATCAAAACACCGCAGGACTATTGTACAAATATTTACAGCTGGTCAGTACAGGACACTAAGATGTGGCACTAAGATGTGGTAGATGACTGTATCAGAGACTACAATAAGACGGGGTCGCTGAGGTGTCCTTGCTCCACTCCTGTTATTTATTGAATGCTTGTGGTATTGTTGTCCTATAATCACTGTGTCATAGATTATGTTGGATTTAATAGAGGATCTTTGATTTAAATTATGTTGCTCATTCTTTATTGATTTGTGGATCTCTAATTCTCCCAAGCAGTCTAAAATTGTCCTTTTTTATGGTCTTTGAGTGCTCCAAATATTCATGAGTTTAAACGATGAGTACCTTAATGATTATGAAAGACGATTTCAAGAAAGTTTTGGAGGGATAGTAAAAGAAACCTTTTTTTCAAAATGATTAAGACCACCAAAGTGACTACCTAAAATGAAAGTGTGATCCACTAAACAAAGAAGAGAGGTTTTTACGGCTATCACTTACCGCATCTCAGTGTGCTTACTATCTGTTAATATATCCATAAAAATAGGTTTACCAACCTACCCCTAGCCCATACCTATTTAGGTATAGGTTAGAACTGATAAAATGGTTTATAATAAGAAGTGATTATTATGAGAGAAATACTTGAATTGAAAATTATGTTTACAGGGCACCCAACAATACTCCTGAACCCAGCAGTGTTGTACCTATTCAAACACAGGATGAGGAACAGGTAAGGACAAGATTTCTTGAACCTTTCATCAGTAAGACAATTAATTGCAAAATCTCTTTGATAACACATTTTACGTTCAATCAATATTTTTATTTAAATATGTTTTTAGGCGCAGGAAAAGGCCCGAACAGCAGAAAAAAGACCATCTACCGAGCCAACTTCAGCGCAAAAGAAGAAAAAGAAAAAGCAACATAAGAAAATCTTGGCTGCACTGGCGGTAGAGAATGGGGACTTGCTTGATGCATCAGCTCAAAGTAAGTATACTTCATTAGTAATTTATGACGAAATTTCGGGTTGAGAGACAAAATTGAGATTTTAAAGTACGTAATTGTCGTCTCACCTGAAATTCTGTCACACCTTAAATCTGTCCAGATAGCTTAGCCTACTATGAGATAGTCCAGGACTCTAACGTGTTCGTTAATTAATTATCGTTTCGAGTTTATTGGCTCAGAATATTAATTACAACAATAATGCTTACAATGTTAACTAAGCTTACCTTCAACAAGTGCTCATCATAGCCACTCGAAAAATATGTAAAGTTAAATTTAGAATTTTGAATAACCTATCGAAATGCGAATAAGCCTAATTAATTAGAAACTGAACTAAAACGTGATCCGGTCGTTATACTTGGTAATCACCAAAGTAAACTTGTCGGGAAAATTAGACTCGGTCGATCACCAGAGTCGATACGGGGTTTTTAAACCAAATTTACGTAGGACGGTCCGGGGTAACGGGGTAAGTCGTACGTAAACCGTTCCGGCAACTTAACTGATTTCCGAAGCTGGTTTAAGACAAAAGGTAGTGTGCTCGTACGTGAAAAAGCGTGCGGGGTGCGCGCGACTGCGGCACAGTAAAATAAAAATAATAAAACTTCTCTAAAAATGAGATTAAACAAAATAAATTCGGTAGTACACTAACCTGATGACTTATGATTCTACCAGGAACGGGGGAAATCTTTAATTGACCAGAATTTAGGAGGTTATAGACTGTTGGATTGTCTCCAAACAGCAAGCGTACTGACGGTTCGGTAGCGGGTGGACGACTGACCGTGAGGTCTGCTCTTCTGGCCCTTCTTCGCCATCGCCCCTGGCGGCGGGGTAGGTAACTAACGCCCTCCCCTCTGCGATGACGTAGGACCATTGCCCCTACGATGCCGCTGACAACGCGGGCGCGGCTTACCCCGAACGTAGACAATTATAATATTTAATATGAAACTTTTAAAAATCGGGTTTTTACCCCTTTACGGGTTTTGGGTCGTTACACCCCCTTCTTACTTCGCAGAGAAAAAAAAAGAAAAACGGAAAAAAAAGAAAAAAAAAGAATACCCAAACCTAGGGTATTGTCGGCGTCTGCCGCGAAGCTCACTTGAGCGTAAACAAAACAAAACTGAAACTAAAAAATCTTCTTACTCTAGCGCTCGACAAACGGCTTTATATCTTTTGCATGGACCGTCACGTAAGATCTGCTGGAGGGGTCTGAGACGGAGTATAGATTTGCCCCAATCCGCCCTCGGATAGTGCATGGTCCTCGGAATTTCGGTGCCAACTTGCCTACGATGGAATCAGCGGCCGAGGAGAGCGTGCGCATTCTGCGTAGCACCACGTCACCTACGTTAAAATTTGCGGGCCTGCGTCGTAGGTTGTAGTAGTTGGCCTGTCGCCGGAAAGCAGCCTCCAGATTCTTACGGCATTTGTCGTAGATATGGCGGAACCACGCTTGACGCTGGTCGTGGATATCCTCCAACGACTCGTCGACGGACGCTTCGGCTAGACCCAGGTGGGAATCTGCCAGGGCTCGCGGTGGGCGCAGCTGTCTGCCCAGCAATAGGACCGCCGGAGAGTATCCAGTCGAATCATGAATCGCCGAGTTTAACGCGAACTGAAACTCTGACAGATGCGTGTCCCAAGTGCGATGGTCTTCGCCCACGTACTGCGACACCATGGTCTTGATCACGCGATTCTGGCGCTCGATGGGGTTCGACTGAGGGGAGTAAGGCGCCGTGTTGCGAAATTCGATGCGCCAATCCTCAGCCAAGTCTCTAAACACTTTCGACACAAACTGGACCCCGTTATCGCAAAGTAAGACTTCTGGAGACCCATATCGCAGGAGAATTCGCTCCCTAAACTTGGACGCTACGTTCTTAGCGGTAGCCGATCTAATAGGGCACATCTCCGTCCACTTGCTAAATACGTCTTGGAAAGCCAGAATAAATGTGTTTCCGCTCTTCGAACGAGGCAGCGGGCCCATCAAGTCGGTGGAAATAACATGCCACGGGCCCTTAGGGTTACGGTAATACATCTGTCCGGCCGGCTTATCTTGAGGGACCTTGTGTGCTTGACACTTTCGGCAGGAACGTACGTATGCCTTGACGGATTTCCTCCAGCCAGGCCAAAAATATCTCTCGTTCACACGCGCCAAGGTTTTCTTGACCCCGAGATGACCGGCTATCGCCAGGTCGTGGGTCTTGCGCAGAACTTCGGCCTGCAGGTCCTCTGGAACGCATAACTTCCAGCTCAATTCCCCGTTGCCCTTATTGGTCTTCGTTTTATAAAGTTTGTCCCCTCGAACGTTGTAATGCCGGTACTTTGTAGGGTTCGCCCTAACTTTACTCGACAGGACGGCTACCCAGTCGTCACGTGAAGAGGGTGCGGCGTCGCTAGAGGCTTCCGTACCGCCTCGACCTTCGGCTGACGTGACGTTCACGTCGGGGGTTACCGGGACGTTCGGTTGACGGGATAAGGCATCAGCAACACGGTTAAGGGTCCCCTTGCGGTACTTAACTTCGAAGTCGTGTTGCTGTAACTCCATTATCCAGCGCGCTAGCCGTCCGGTTGGCTCGGGATGTCGCAACAACCATTTGAGAGCCACGTGATCGGTGACGGCTACGAACCGGTAACCTTCGAGGTACGGCCTAAACTTCTTCGCTGCCCATACGAGTGCCAGGCACTCTTTCTCGGTCGTAGAGTAGTTCTTCTCCTGATTAGTGAGAAGACGACTGGCATACGCTACTACAGCTTCCTTCCCGTCGTTGTCCTGAGTGAGCGCCGCGCCTAGACCGTAATCGGAAGCGTCAACTTGCAAGACGAACGTTTTTGAGAAATCGGGGCACGCAAGTATCGGTGCGGTAACGAGCTTGTCTTTCAGAGATTCAAAAGCCCGCTCCTGCTCTGTGTCCCAATTCCACTTACAATCTTTGCGTAAAAGTTGAGTCAAAGGTCGAGAAGTGGCGGCAAAATCACGGACGAAACGTCTATACCAGGAGGCTAAACCAAGGAAGCTCCGCAGGGTTTTGACGTTGATAGGTCGGGGGAAGTGTTTGATGGCAGCTACCTTCTCGGGATCGGTGCCTATGCCCTGATCATTCACTATATGTCCGAGGTATCGTAGTTCCGTCTTACAGAAGTTGCATTTCTCCGGGTTTAGTCGTAATCCGGCGTTTCTTAGCCTACCGAATACCTCCTGTAGCAGGTCAAGGTGTTTGTCGAAAGTAGTAGATACCAGAACTAAATCGTCGAGGTAGGCGAACGCGTAGGGCTCAAGTTCCGGGCCTATCACTCGGTCTAGGAGTCGTTGGAACGTAGCACCAGCGGAATGGAGGCCAAACGGCATCACGGTGAACTGGTAAACACCAAGTCCAGGCACGGTAAAAGCAGTGATTGGCCTACTATTCTCCGAGAGAGGAACTTGCCAATAGCCCTGCTTCAAGTCGAGGGTGCTGATAAACTTTGCCGTCCTTAATTTCTCCAAGATAAAATTTATTCGGGGCAAAGGATATGCGTCACGCACCGAGGCTTCGTTAACTCGTCGCAAATCTACACAAGGTCGCAGCCCGCCGGAAGATTTCTTAACCATCACGATGTTAGAGCTCCAGGGGCTATTCGCAGGCTCGATAACCCCATCCTCAAGCATGGTCTCGACTTCTTTCTTAATAATATCCTGCATTGCCGGATTACGGGGGTACGATCGCTGTTTCACCGGTTCGGCACCCTCCTTAAGAGTTATCACGTGCTCTATAAGGTGGGTTTTGCCACTGACCTTATCGAAGAGCGCGAGTTCGTTAGCTAGAAACGTCTCTAGTCGCGCGCTCTGATCAACCGACAGCCTACTCACTGCAGCTACGTCGTCGGTGGGTCCGGAACATTCTCCAGGACCTCGTTCTACAGTGAGTTCAAATCGCACCAAGCCGAGGTCGTTAACTTGCGATATTCCTAAGACTAAATCGCAAGCCAATCCCGTCACATGCAACGCGTCCCATTCGTATTCGAGTTCGCCGAATAACCCGCGAACTCGGTATCCAGTCGTGATGTGAGACAGCATGCCATTCGCCATTCTTATATCGACATCGCTGTCTATAGGCGGGACCCCTCGGGATTGTAAAAACGTTGCGAGACGGTCACCAATGAGGCTGACCATGGCGCCGGTATCCACGAGTGCCCTAAACGGTCGACTGAAAATTTCTACGGTTACGAAGGGTCTTGTATCGAGGGAAACAACATCGTGATTGGTCGAGACAGGAAAATCTTTTATTCGTTGGAGCCACGCGCTCCATTCTTGGGGGGTTGTGGTCCGGATCGGGGATTTGGACTCAGCCTCCCCCTCCTTAGCTGAATCCTGTGTGCGTTTCCCGCCTTACAATTGCATTTTGCGGTCGAGACGCCTTTGGTTTTGCAATAAAAACACTTCCATGTTCTTGGTTCGGGGCAGTCGCGGAACAAGTGTCCCGTACGGTCACAATTCCAGCAAACGTACTGGTTGTTGACGTGGACGGTTTTCTCCAGTGCCACCCCTCTCACACTCGTGTGGGAGTTGGGCACGGATAGGGTTTGTGCCTTGGGTGGCGAACTCGGTCCTTGCCGCGCGCGGTCGTACCTTTGGTGCTGCGGGTAGGTCCGGGAGCTCGGTTCGCGTGGTGGCTCAGCAGTGACTGCGGCGTTATCGACCGGACGTTCAGAACGCCTTCGCCCGTGATACGCGGTTTCAGGAATGAGAGAGATAGCCGGAGGGGGTGGTGGACGAAACGTGCTCTTATCCCTAACGTAGGACTCGTACTCCTCGGCACGCTTAATCAGTTCGGTCAGAGTCAAGCAGTCCTGGCGTCGAACCATAAGCTTGTATTCGGGTCGCATATTCGTATAAATCAAGTCAATCTTATCGTGGGACGAAATGGATCCTCTCCTTCGAATTAGCGTGCTTAACGCGACTACAAAATCTCTAAACGGCTCTTGGTCACCCTGTGTCCGCTTACGAATCTCTT